GTATAACGAGGCGATTCGAAATTCTGATTTATAATCCCCTTGAGCCGAGCCGCTGCAACTCCGTCGATGTAAATCTCCGCGGGATCGATAAACCCAGCTCGGTTGCATCGACCACCGGCGAGGGTTGGCGCTTTACAAGCAGCCAGGGGTGAAGGAACTCTGGATCTTAACGCGATGGGCCAAGTTTTCTGCACGACCCTGTCCGCGATACTCGTAGGAAGCGGTTCCCGGCGGCACGAACTTGTAGAACAATTTAATTGCACGCGTTCAACGACGGACTTCCCGTTACCCTTTCATTTTTTTTTTGCCCTTCCATTTCCGAACGAGAAGCGTTCCCGACCGCATTCCAAGCGAACACCCGCTCGAAATATTTGGAACGCGCGAGCCCCGCCGCTAGTATCCTTTTCATTTTATTTCACTCGAGGATTAAAAGTCTTTCACCGCTGGGACACGACTTTCTTGGATTTTAATTACGGTTAATTCGGGAATTAAGAGTATTCGACTGCGCGAATAACATTCCTTTGGAGATTAAAGGAGTTTCTATTCTTTTCGTATGTAATTTTATCGAATTAAAATATTTGTTACGATATCGTGCGCAGTTAAAAATTATTGGAACCGAAGTCTTGAATATTTATGCAAGGTTTACTCTGTAAAATGGTGATTCGCTTGCTAATACGGATGAAAATAGATTCGTTTTTTAAATATTATTGTTAATGTACTGAGACTATTAGTTGAATAAATTCTGTTTCATCGCCGTTCTTCTATTCTTAATTATACAACCGTGGATTTGCATAAAAATCCGCAGACCAATTACGAAGTACGCGTGTCACACTCTAATGCACTCGCGATAGTTAAGCTCAGCTTCCATTCCTCGTAACTCCGCCCAATCAAATTCCCATAACGGAACAAAAGTTCGATTTTCAATATGCACAACGGAATTCCTCCGACAAGTTTTCACTAACCCCGTGAAATTCATTTCATAGCGAATCTCAGTTTCGCGATCACTCCCATTTAATCACTTTAAGCTGCATCCTATTAAAGTTTACACGTAGCAATTAATTCCCGGTTAGGGGAAGCGCACTCCCTCAGGGCTGGATTATAAGGGTGTCTACGTGCTGGAAAACGTAACAATGAGTAACTGCAGGTAATGTGTGGTTGGCTCGTGATCCCTGCAGCAAGATATTCGCGCGACATCCATTCTAACGAAATAAAATTATACATTGTAACCGAAATGTCCACAGTTTTTCAAGTTATAATTTAAAATCTTTATTTTAAAATGTAAAACGCGAAGAAAATATTCAAAAGATTATTCGAAATAATATTATAGCAATATTTTCGTCGAAATATTAAAAGTGATTAGAGAACAATATAGAGACGAATAACTGTTTATCTACATAAAGGTTAACTCCGTTTATTCGGAGCGTGCTTCCTGCATATTGATAACGAAAGAACTTAATGAGGTAATTTCGCGAGGAAACATGGGTCCCTAAGCGTGGCGTTGAGAACGGTTTCATGAAGAAGCATTTTAAGGATACATAACTTTTCCCGGCCGGAAGTTCCGGGCAATTCTTTTTCGGGACGCGCGCACGCGTGAACCCGACTCATCACGAAAGTGATTCGTTTAATTGAGAATGATGCTTTGCTTTCGTGTCGCGACCCCAGCTCGTAATTCGATTTTCCAATCCGTCGCGTTCATTTTCTGCATACACACTGCCTTCCGTAAGCCAGTGGACACTTTCCCATATTTTAAAAATTGGATATCGGGATAAGAATACAAGTTTATGGGGTAATAAATTGTTTCGCCTTCGCTAAACAAGGTAGACGCTCTAAACTTACACCCAACGTTCCATACAATTCTTTTGGAAGATAAAATCAAAGGAACACCATTTTCATCGATTTCTTGGATGAAGAACCCTTAGATCCATTGACAATCGAACATAATAAATCTAGCAATATTAATATAACAATTATGTTATAAAACATACTAATTTAAATATTGAAACATTAATAGTAAATACTATCAAAGAAAACAAAAATCATCCCCAAAACATCCCCAAAACATCCCCCAAACTTCAGAAAGATTTTGCGCGAAATCAATCCGCACCCTCTAAAAATCCCCCGGGACCAGTCGATCGATGAGAAAATCCCAAAATGAAACGAAAATAAATAACTCACGCGGGTTCGCCGTTTTGCTCCAGGTGCACCACGTTCCCGCTCAAAGTCTCGATCTCCTGGGGCCGTTTCACGACATGCATCCCAGTCTTCTCCCTCGGCGAGGACACACCCCTCACGGTATCCACGCTCACCCCGGTATCCGTGGATCGCACACTGTCGATCGACTCGACCGACATGCCCGCGGACGATTTCTGGGACGCGCCACTCCCGTGATTGCCGATCCGCGGCTTCACCCCCGCGCTGTTCACGTTTTTCGAGCCGTTCACTGCACCAACCGTACCGGACACGTTGTTCGATTGATCGTGAACCGCGTTCGCAGCGTTCCCGACGACTCTCGCGTCGTGCTCGTTACCGGTCTTCGTGGCAACCCTCTCCTCTTGCTTCACCGTAGCACTACTAACCATCGTCTGTCTCTGTGGCTCGTTACTGGAAGAATTCTTCGAGGCATCGTTCGCCGTTTCGACTTCGTTCGATTTTATTGAATTCGTGGCGGACGCAGGCTGCAACGAGATCGTTCCATCGATCCTCTGGTCGTTTCTAGCATTCCTCGCAGTTTGCTCGTTTACAGCGTTCTGACTCTTACTCGATCGCAGGGTGGCGGAGCCATTGTTGCTGGCCGTGCCGTTCACTTTGGCCAAGCTCTTCGCCGGTTGACTGATACTGTTGCTCTTCGAATGGCCGCCAACGGATTCCGATGGAACTGGTGACTCGTTTCTACTGTCGGCTCCACCCTTCCCTCGATTATAGTTGTTGCTAGGCTTGCTGGACCTCGAGGTCTGCGTGTTCGTCGAACGCTGATCGTCCTGCGCGCCTTGTCTCACGAGGGAGTCGTCGTTCGACGAATTGGAAGATTTGCTGTGAGGAGGATCCGATTGGTTCCTCTTCTCGGAGGAGTTCCTCTTGTCGGAACCGTCTTTGTCCATTAGAAGCGCGTTCGCGTCAATGTGCAGCGGCTGGACGGCTGTCGTTGCAGTCGTGTTCACTACGCTAGACGTGCCAGTGGCACCGGAAGATTGTTTTAGAAGATCTATGAGCTGCAGATCGCGGCCTCTATCGCTGCCCGATGAGTTCTTGTTGCTGACCTGGGACTCCTTCGAGCCTTCCGACTGTGTGCCGCTTTGGTTGACCTCGTTGCTTCGATCATTGCTGCCTTTAGCATCCTTGGACCCTTTGTCGTTGACCTTTTTAGCTTTATCGTTAGGCTGAGTGGAGATGTTGATGAATCTAGCTGGGTTCAAGGAATTCGTTCCCACTCTGTTCGTCTTCAAGGGGATTTTCGACGGTGACGTGACTCGTTCCTTGCTCGACGCCTTGTTAGAGGTGACCGCTTTCTCTTGGTTCTGCTTCTTCGCGTTCCAAGTGCTTTTCGTCGGCGACGTCGCCAATTTGTGCAGCTTCGACGGTGAAGTCTTCGTGGCATCTTTGGAACGATCCCTCCGAACGAACTGAGGTGTCCTATCGGGTTTGGTAGGCGTGCCTTGGATTGGAGACAGCTTGCTGGGTGTTTTAATCGTCTGGCGACGAGTGGCGAGGTTCGTTGCGCTGTTGCTGTTACCAGAGGCGTTCAAACGGTTCCGCGAGTCGGCCGGGTTCAAACGGTTCCTCGAGTCGGCCGGGTTCAAGCGGTTCCTCGAGTCGGCCAGGTTCAAGCGGTTCCTCGAGTCCACGTGGCGAACGCCTTTCGGCGAGGTGAGATGCTCGGTCGACTTGCTCAGGGAAATTGAACGCTGTCTAGTTGGCTGAGGTATCAAGCTTCTTCTTGGACTGCTCTGTTGGGACACTGAAACTGAGAATCACCGTTGCTAGATGTAATCAATGAACCCTTGTTCCGTTAAACTTATTAATAATAAAGACATCAATTACCATTCAAAACATTCCTTCATCCTCTACTTTCCCAAACTCAATAATCTCAAAGCATTAGCCACACGCAAGAAATGAAAACCTTATTAACACTAGAACTACCAAGTGGGTCAAAATGACCAATTCCTAATTTCTTCTCTTAGAATTACTTCAAAAGTGCACATACTTCTTTAAGAAACGATTAAAGAAGCTGATTTGGCAATTCCTGAACTGAAACACAAGCCGACTGAAATCTTAATAAATACGCGCTTACAGTTTTCATAAAGAAATGTTCAAAAGACGGTTGCTCGGTAGTTCTAGTGTTAAGTGGAAAAAGAACACAACAGGATTTAGTTTTACGAAATTACCTCGACGATCGCTTCGACCCCTTCTCCGAGCGTCCACGTGTTCCGGTGACTGAGGCCTCGACCTCGATCGCGGTGGCGGCCCCTTGAACCCGCGTCCGCGAAAGGGCGAGACTCTACCGGTGGCTAGTGTCGGCGACGGGCTCCTAGTTTCAGGGGACGCCGGCCTCGAGTCAGCGATGATCACGAAGCTGGACCGCCTGTGCGCCCTAGAGGACGACGTCGAGGACGGCGCGATCTTGTAGGGCTCGGGTGCACGCGGCGGTGGCGGCGGCATCGCCGAGGGCGACAGGTAGTTCCCGTCGGGTGCCGCGAGCACCCTGAACGGAGGCGGTCGTTGCACATGGCCGTTGTCGATCCGCCTCATCCTTTCGCGGCCCCGAAGCTGCAACGTAAACACACTCTGTACACCAACCGGAAGACTGGCCGATCCCTCTTCATGTCGGGAAACACGGGTCGCGCTCGATTTGCGTTTGACCAATCCCTCCGCTTCTGATCTTCCCTTCGACCCCCACCTTTGAGGCTGAACATTGAGGATCGGTGAAATAGAGGGAGGCTCGCTAGATCTGTGGTACTTTGTGGAATGTGCTGGATGGAGTACATAATTGAATTGAATAAATATTGAGGTTGTTGGGGTTGAAAGGTTGCTTGATTGTGTTTCATTGAACTTTCTGGTGTAGTACGTTTCGAATAATCTTATGGCGTGAAGATGTGAAATTTTCGGTGTATGGATTCTTTAATGAGATGTCTTTTCTGTTTACGTGTGATTTTAGTAGTGGTTGAGAATTATTGTAAGGGAACTGTTAAAATTTACCCGCCAAGAGGTAGAGTAGAGACTGTAAATTTTAATTAAGAATCTTCTGCTTGCAGTTGATGAAGTTTCTTGTGTAATGTAATGTAGAATATAAAGTTAACCGAAGTGATAAATATTTGATTATGTTGGAGTTCCTTCGAACAATATTCTACAGAGATTGAACGACTTCTGGAAGTACAGTCCCAATTTATTTAAGGGTGATTCACTTCGGCTCTCGAGTATTGACTTTCCGTTTTATGGCTCCAGCGCGCGGAATAATATTTGAACGTGATTATCATTGGGTTGTTGACTCAGTCAACCACCTTTGATACTTCCATGAAGTGTCTCATTACCCCATAACTTCAAAATACAATACAATTCTAGCCACAATAAGAATTATACATTCGACAATGAATAATCTATAATTTACAAAAAGTAATCCACTACTTTTCACCAAATTCAATATTCTAAAAATATCCCACAATACCGTCAATTGAACAATCTTCTCGATCAATAGCAGAACAGAAACCCGATTGCAATATCAACTCATCAAAAACTCAACAAATTACTCCTTGCCCGGCATTAATACTTCCGAAGATATACCTCGAGTCCTGCATGCAGACCGCCAGGATGCGGAGGACGCCGGGATCCGTTGTCGCTCTCACCTGGAAAACAGAGAAAACTCGACTGATACATAAGCTCACACGCCGGCACACTAAAAATACCCGGCGAAGATCGTGTTTCGTTAAAATTTCACATACGCGACCGACAAACGAAACTCGCGTCTTATCTAGGAACATCATCATCCAAGAACGAGTGGCAACCCAACCGATTCTACACGAAAAAGAGGAAAGAAAAGGAAAGGTTTGTGAGTCTGCATGTTCCCTTAATATTCTCAGAGACCCACTTCCCCATTCATTATGTACAATGAACGCGATAATCAAATTAGATCGTTCCTCGGAGATTAACCGGTAATCTCGAACGCGACGGGGCCCTCCTCCCCCGCGTTCGCCGGATGATTTCGAGAGCAAAACGTTGGACTCGTCCGGCGGAAATCCAAGAACAAAGCCTTCCTGAAAGTTTCAGCCCGCGTCTAATCCCAGGTAACGCTCATTGTGCACCTTCTTCCCTTTCCTTTCCCGTTGGAAGATCAACGCGCGAGATTCGCCCGTGGCCTGGCAATTAACAGTGCCGCGTGCAACATCGTAATTATTCGCCGACTGTTGCAATTATTCACTCTAGTTCAGCAGGCCTCGTCGAGCGGCCAGCAGCCTCGGGTACCGCGCGTTTTATTCACGCTCTCATAGGCGGGAATGCTCGGACCGATCGCGTCAGTCTCGCGCCATGCTTATTACCGCAGCACCGTGACGCTGCTGAACTACATTTCCCATCTTCCCCCCTGGCGACGTAAAACTGTATATATATATATATATATTTTTTTTTTCTAT